CTGCGTCCTCCTAGTCATTCTCTTAGCTCCTGTTGGAGATACCTGAGGCTTTATGGTCAACATTTTTAAGTCCCATCCTACTAACATCGCTCTGCCCTTGTGTCTGTGACTCTGGTGAGACCAGCAAGGACTATAGGAATTTCCCCATTGACACTAAGCAGCCTGAGGGTATAGCCACARAAGAGGAATACAAGAACTGGGAATGGGGTTGGGAATGGGGCTGCCACCAGATTCACTTACGGCCTGTTCTCCTAAAAAAAGTTACTGGACATATTGGAGCAACTAAACATTCTGTTTATAAACACCTAGAGCATAATAATACAACCGAGGTTAAAGGAAAAGAACTATGTACTTTTGGCAAGCACATATATCATCCCAATCTATTTTTTTTTCTTAATATAGGATATCTGGCATAGTGGTTAAAGTAGGAGCACAACATATGATGATGTGATAAATCTTAACTTCCGAAAGGCCTGACACTCTCCTACACAAACTAAAAAAAGGTGGATGTTAAAACACCATTAGCACGCTTTAAAGAGCTCCTGTCAGTGGGTCACTACCCTCTAGGGATGGAGGCTGCAGTGGGTTGCTGTCCCAGGTTGGTTTTGGGCCCTGATGTATCAATGCTTTAATATCTTTATGGTGGAGTAAAAAGGCAGCATACAGCTTCTGTCAAAGGCATCAAGTTGGGAGCAGTTGCAAGAGCTTTGGAGACCAGGATCAGAATTCAAAATGCTCCTGGTAAACTGCAGAACTGGTCTCTGTGGAGAAATCAGCTAGCTGCAATCCAGCAATAGTGAGTATAAAACACAACACTCGGAAAGAAAGCCAGCAATCAAGGCTCAAATACAGAAGCAGGGAACGAGCAGCAAGTCAGTTGTGCTGCAGATCAGCACCTGAGAGCAAGAGAGCAGCACGGAAGCCAAGTAAGAGAAAGCAACGAGGTCTCTTATTTAAAATAAAATTAAAATCTTATTCAGGAGCTTGCCAAGTGAAGCACAATAAGCAAAACATAGCAGGTACTTATCGGATTTTTGTCTGCRCTGCTTAGTTCTCAACTTAAAATCGTGTTGAATTCTGGATAGCATATTTATGAAAAGGTGTGGAAAATCAGACAGCAGTGAAACAAATATGACACAATGGTTGGAAAATATAACTTGCAAGAACAATGTGGTGAAGCTGGGCACGTTAAGCTGGACTACAGAGATCCAGGTCACACTGGAAAAATGCACCCCATGGTAATGGGCTCCTACTAGATAAAACACTTCTGAGAAAAAAAACAAAAAACAAAAAAAACAAAAAACAAAACAAACAAAAAAAAATCCCCAGTTACCTCAGGAGAGCCAGAAATAATTGGCAGTAAAAATCAATTTAGGTCACATGCTAATAAATGCTTTCCAAATGCAACACAAGTGAAATAATGGCCAGGCATTGGTTATATTGACAGGGGACTCTCTTCACAAATACCTGATAGGTACAACCACCACAGAGCTGATGCTGTCCCAGTGCCCACGGAAGGACTGGATGACTCTCGTGGGCTCTTCCAGCCCTTTGCTCCTCTGATCAGGCACCAACAGAAAAGTTTTGGGCAGCAAATGGAAAGCATCMCTGGTAGCTATTCCATTGCAACTGAGGCATTGCAAATGCTTTGAGTGAGTGAAAACAGMCAGCTCTCTCCTTCTGCATTCACCTCAATGCAGAGAATATGGACTAGCATCCGCTAGTGACTACCCTGGCTGCGACAGCTGCCCCCTGTGCAGCCCTCACTGGCCCCCTGGGTCAGAAAGACAGAGGAGATGGCCATAGCCACCCTCCTGAACCTTCTGCAGTGTCTGCCTACCTCTAGCAGTAGAGGCATGTTTGAGTTTGAAAGGAAGGGAAGACTTGTGAAGTACTGGATAATCTCACGGCACTGCTAACAAAAAGGCTTTCTCCACTTCCAGCTGGCTAGCAGGTTGTGACCCTTCTTAAATGTTCTTTCTTCACCCTCTTCTAGACCTCTGCAATATGCCCCAGCTGAGAGCAATCCTATCATCAAATAGAGACACTTAAGAGGAGCTGTTTGAGTGGCCCGACGCACAGGCACTGGTGCTGGCTGACAAGGCAGGACCAACTCCATCCTTGGATGTCCTAAGCGTTATGGGCAGATCTATGAGCAATGACCTCTTTCTTCCTATGACTACTGCAGCTCTGCCCAGCTGCCTTTACAGAGCAGAGCTCATTCCTGGGAAGGCTGGTTTTCTAGAGGAAGTTCCATTAACCTGGCACAATATTAAAAAAAAAAAAAAAAACAGAACGAAACTTTAGGATACAGCGAAGTCCATCTACTTCAGGTGGCATTTTGGCAAGAGCAGGAGACTTCTCCCATCATAGAGGCTGCTGCACGACTCAAAGCTACCTCTTAGTCCCTGTAATAGATACTCTACTCATGTCTTGGGGTAATAAGGATGTTTTTCTTCTTTTTCCCCCCACAGAAGCTATAAAAATGGGTGAACTGAACTGGGGCAGATGAAGGACCTACCTTTGGGATACAGAGAACCCCCAGAAGAACACTAGGTGGGCAGGACTGAAAGCATGGGCCCCGAGCTAAGGCAGCTCATTGCTTCCACCCCTGGGTCAGCATCACGGTGGGATGTTTCAGTGACACAGGTAGGCATCGCCACCGTGCTCCGAGATGGAAAGATCTCTCACCTGGGCCTTGTTTCAGTATCCCTGGACCTGTTCAAAGAGAATCACTAGGTGCCACGCTAGGAATTCTCCAGTCCCAGATTACCATGCTATTTAGCATATTAGGTTACCTGCTATTTAGCTTTTCAAGAACTGTATTTTGTTTCATTTATTTATTTTTAATTAGCTGTTACGGATGTCCAGAGTTTTACACAGCCAACAGTTTTAAATATATGCACAGGGTAACAAGAAAAGTAAATAAATCACATTAAATAAATAAAACCAAGCAGCTTAGCATGACTCAATACTGAAATGCCTTATACTTGGTACTAGCAGAACCCTATTAATCAGGCAGACAACCTGCAAATCTGAGAATAATAATAATCAAAAGGAGAAAATGCTGATGAGAGAGAAAGGGATAATCTGTAACATTTACTAGTTTTCAATAAATAAATTTTATTAGTTAAGGTTATTTTAAATGAATTATTTATTAGATTTAAACTAATAAGAACATGCTTTAAAATGGTGAGATTAACTCTTCTGAATTGTAAGGAACTTTAGATTTTGCCTAAAAAAGAAAAAACAGGCCAAACTTACTTTTATAAAACACAAAAATAGAAGTCTCACCTAATCACAGGACCCTGAGCTGAGGCTTTAAAAGCAGGCACAACTTTGCATGKGTCGTGTGGTCAAACTGTGGCAGGTTTTGAACAAAGATTACCCAAAGACACCTTGTCTACTGGCAGCCTGAGTTTAGATGTRCCCAAACCTGAATGCTGCCAAAACCTCAGTATCTTCAGAGAGATGACCAGAGTTCAGGGCTGGACATCCACCCGCGTAGGTGAAAGCTAAAATACAAAACTCAATTTTGCTGCTCCGTTCCCTATCTAATAAGCATAAATAAAGCATAAATACAATTAATAATAGATTGCTTGCCTGTCTCTAAAATTCATTTGTAGCTATATTTTCCTCAGCGGGAATAATAGAAATAATAGAAATAATAAATAGCTATAATAGAAATTATTTGCTGCTGGATTTCCCCAGCAACAAACCACCTCCAGCGGGTTGGCGCCTGCAGCTCTAGCCCACAGGGAGGGTGCAGCTGTGGGCTCTGTGTGCCCCAGTGCACTGCACTGCCCTTCCCACCCACTGCGCTCCCCTGGGCAGCAGCCCCTCCAACACAGACCCACACCTTCCCTCGCAGGYAGACATCCAGTGTGCTGCTCAGCTCCGAGCCTGGCGAGTAAAGCCAGCAAGAGGAAACTTTCCTGCACGCACAGACACATCTACGTGCAGAGCAATTCAGACCTTTGGTGTGGAAGATGAAATCACCACGTAGCATGTGGGGTAAATATAAAAATCAGGACAAATAACATTCACTGAATGGTAACACAGATGCTGAATAGGCTTCTAAAAYGTATGTGTACATATGTGCTTGATAGATATCTATTTAATCTGCTCCATAAAYACCACAAGTAAATAGGCAGACAGAGAGAATTTTGTGATGATTAAAAAAATGAAAAAAAAGATAAACTCTTTGGTATTCTGGTCTGGAGAGGCCAAAACAAGAAAACCTCATAATGCCCTCACCAGTAACTGGRGAACTCTGCTAATGCATTTGCTCCCTATGAAACCATGAACGCAGACAGACTRGACAGTGCTAGTTCAAACTGCCAAACTGCCAGGTTTCCACTTGCCTGTAGCACACAGAGGAGGACAGCTAAAAAAGGAGAAAGCAACATAAGGTGTGCGGCAGCTACCTAAGGTACAAGGTTTYGCACCGGCTTAGGGACAGCGTACCCTGCAAACCAGCAACCTAGCMCAGAAAAACATCTAGAAAAATTAATTTTCCAGCCCTGTAAAGAGTTATCAAAGGAAGGCCAAAAAGCACAGCTCAGCATTTCCCCACCACCACCACCACCCTTGTATCAAAAAGAGACATGAGAAAGGAAGAGACAGTGAAACCCATCTGGGAAGAGCTATCTGGGAAGAAATTAGGCAAAATGTTCTGATAAGTGTATTTATAAACAAATGTGCTTCCTTCAGCACCAGCGTAACCAGGCCTGCATTGCACTAGAAGGTGTCTCGATATCACCAGCATCCCCTGCTCCATGGTTGCCTTAGGAAGGACAGACTGACAGCAGATTCTTTGTTACAGTGGAAGGACATAGGCCTGTTGGCTTCTTCTGTAAACCACYCACTGTTGGTTACTATCGCAAGGTCCACAGGCTCCCAACTCGGTGGTTTTTCTACTCCCTTCTCCAGCCTTCTTCCAGAAAGGTACAAACCACCCATTGCTTCTTTCACTCATTCTTCCCAGACATGCTCCTTACCTTGCACGATCAAGTAAACCTGGGAAGTCTTGGGATGATGCAGTGTCTGCACTGAGCAGGTATAGGACCCCTCATCATAGACATCCACTTTCTGGATCCGCAGGCTGTATTCCAGTGGGTTCCTTTTCTCCAGCTCTACTCGAGGGTCCAGSGACCACTTGTCCTCCCCAGCAAAAATGATGCCAGAGCGGTTTAACCAGGCTACCTTGGAGCTTCTGTCTTCTACATAACACCTGGAGAGGGCAAGAAAAACACGTGGGATATTAGTGAACATCTCATCATCTCTATTTTGTCCTTTCYCTTGTACTTCTTTACTCAAGCGCACTCCTGCTTTGCCAGTGGGTCACAGCACAACTCACCATCATTTCACAATGATTCCTTAAAAGGCTTCATGAACACATGGGATTTGGGGCAAAAATCCTGACTCCTCTCCTCCTTTTACCTGTGGCTTACACCTACACCACAAATGTAAAAGCAGTTCAGAGACCCAGCTTTGTCAGCCTGGGGAGCAGCTGCTCCTTCCCTCGTTTCCAGTGGCACAAGGAAGGGTAGGACATATCCAACCCCTCCCACCTTGACAAAAAAATGGCTTTGTGGAAAGCCATCCTGGGTCCCTATCCAGAAACACCCCTGCTGAGGCGCATCTGACTGCCTGTGCAGGCAAGCACAGATTTTGTGCTGAAAGCAAAWGGCTGTGGGGACGTCACCCACCGCTATCCCCGTGACACAGGCAGCATGCTGTGAATGTTGCAGGCCAAGGATCAACACTTTGCGTAGCCGCGGTCACCAGCCATTGCCAGCAGCTGCAAGGACGAGGACAGACTAACACAACTTCTACACATGACCAAGATTTTGTTCTTTGACAGAAAGAGGAGAAGGTGCCACATAGACCAATGTGGTTTACGTGGTGGCACCTGCTCTGTACTACTCTGCAGCCCCAAAACAGCGGTTGCCCAGAAGAAACGGAAAGAAGCAAATGAGGAGGCACCTTCTGCTCACTCTGTGCTGGCTCTCATTCTAGAAGTCAAGGGCTGAACAAGACGTGGCTACACAACCCCTCATTCCCCCAGCAGCTCTACCCGTGGGGGCCAAGCTTTAGATGGGCTGATAGGCTTTGCCCTGCAGGAGCCCACGCCACATTTGATCTGCAGATAGATCAAGAAGTCCAGTTGCCAGAGCTGTTGCTCATTCACCTCTCTAAGCTCTGCCCACTGCCTCCAGGAATCCAAATAACCCACCTCTCCCCAGCACTGTTCATACACATGTTGTATTTGTGAGACAAAAAGAGAATAAAGATTACAGCTTCAAGATAAGGCAAATATTTGCCTGTAGGCTTTCATGCAGCCTCTTAGCACGGTTCAGACATTTTCCAAGTTCCTCTGGTTGAATGGAGCTCATTCAGGCTGCGCTGCAGCTGCCACCCCGTGCRCCACGACCCACGGGGCTGGCACCTCTCACCTCCTCCCCAGCAAACAGGCCCGTGGAAGCAGCCTGACTTGATCTGGGGTTACTTGTGGGCAGGAGCAAAGCCAAGATGGGTAGGAATGGAGGGCTGGCACACCACGCTGCTGGCCAGGCTAGAAGCTGGTCTCTCTGATCTCACAAACATTTGCTTTAGGGAGCAGCCCCAGAGAGCGCGGTCTGTGCAAGGCCTGCCAGCCGAGCGAGGCTCATGTGGGCTCGCTCCTCGAGCCATGGTGCATTCTTCCAGCCAGGCACGCWTTTGCCCTAAGGTGACTTTACAGCTGTGAGATGTTGGTTTGTGTTTAAGAGGCCGTTCTTCAGAAAAAAAAGAGAGGGGCAGGGGAATGGGTGAACGGCCATTTATGCTCAGGGAAGCTTCATGGCTTCAGCTGCCGGAGCACACAGTGGCACCCACATAAGACAGAAATCACCAGGAAAGGGACAGGAAAGGGAGACCCAAGAGGGCAATGGGGCCAAGTGCACCAGCTGTCCAGGGATGCCCACACTGTCCTAAGTGCCCTCTGCCTCGGGATCACCAGGCTTCTCACAAGTTTCTATGTAGACTCATAACAGCACAGAGAATCGAAGGGCTCAGTCTTTTCCAAAGATACTTTGAATCCCCTCTCCGCACATTTTGGATTTACAAAAGCCTTGAGGGGGCTGGCGGTGCGCGGCTAAGCAGATTAAGAGCTGAAGCTGCAGTTGGTGGGAGCTGAGGTCCCTTACTCACTTCTCAACCCCCCCGGGCACCTACGAGTGCCGCCAGGCAGCAGGCGGCCGCGCTCCTCGCGGGCCCCGCGCCGGGGCGGCCTGTGCCGTGGCCCCCGCCCCTCTGCTCGGCGCTTGGCAGGCGGTTTCCATGCCAGGGTCTGTGGCTCGGCTCAGTGAAGCAGCTTCGCCGAGGTCCACAGCAGCTCCGCAGTCTCATAGATTCATAGAACGGTTAAGGTTGGAAGGGACCTCAGAGGTCATCTAGTCCAGCCCCCCTGCACACRCAGGGTCACCTAGAGCACGTGGCACAGGGCTGCGTCCAAGGAGGTTTTAAAGATCTCCAAAGAAGGAGACTCCACAACCTCTCTGGGCAGCCTGTGCCAGGGCTCTGTCACCCTCACTGTCAAGAAATGTTTCCTTAAGTTCCTGTGGAACTTTTGGTGCCTCAGCTTGTGGCCGTTTCCTCTAGTCCTGTCAGTGGCCACCACTGAAAAGAGGCCRCCCCCTCCTCRCTGCCTCCCTTGAGGTATTTATAGACACTGATCAGGTCCCCCCTCAGCCTTCTCTTCTCCAGGCTGAACAGGCCCAGCTCCTCAGCCTTTGCTCRTAGGGCAGATGTTCCWGGCCTCYCCCTCCCTCACCAGAGGGAGACTTGGCCTCCTGCTCCCAAGGGGATGTGTGACCAAGCACCTGTGCTCCCTCCATGGACAGGGCTGCCGGCACCTCCTGCCAGCCCGGATTGCCACGGATAAAACATCCATCAGCGGTATTTCCCTAAAGCTATTGCCCCACAGGGCCTGGATTGGAGACCAAAACACTATTTGGTGGAAACAGGAAAATAAACGCTACCACCCATTTGCAGCAAAACTAGCTGGATTCTGGCTGGGAATCTTGCGAGGCCTCTGCCTCCCAATGACCAGCAGCCTTCCTCTTCAGTGGAGAGGAGGAGGAGAAGCATTACCTTAAGAAATGCTGTCCCATGGAAAATAAAAAGCGTACCCAGCCAGTCTTATGTTGGCTGTTCCTGAGGGCACCCTCAGGACCCTGATCATTAGCTACCATCAGCCAACCTTGCAAGCGCCCCTGGAATAAGCTAGCTGGCACTATCGAAATAAAGCAAGAGGGAGAGGGAAGCAGGAGAAAAGGGAAATTCAAAGAGCAAGTAAAATGGATTTGAGCATACCTGTTCCTCTAAAACTGTCAGAGAAAATCAATGTACAAATGTGGAAATTCCAAGCCCCAACGCACTCTGAACATACATCAAAGCGGATGATGTCTCTCAGCATGTCCATCTATACTCCCGCACCCTTGCAGTCTGCCAGCAGTGCCATCCAGACTTATGGATCACACTTTAATAAGGATTTATGGTGATGATTTTCACAGCTATAATAAGTGCTAATTCGATACTAATAGAATATTAAATGGCATGTTAAGTGACATTTTAACTGCAATGCAATAGCGCCACGGCATCTGCAAGATATCAAATGACTCTTATCGTTCACTAATAATCAATAGTCAAGTTCACAGAAATAGTCAAGCCCTCTTCATTAGGCTTATTGAAGGTGTTACTACCAATGTTGGTGAATGCTAATAAACCACTTGTGATCCATTCATGTGGCTTTCACTTATGGTTCCAGGTCTAATTTCTTTGCATCTGTTGATATAGCTAAYGAGAGGGCCAACCAATGGTGATGGTCATACTATGATGATCATGTCAGTCACCACTGACATCAGCACCAAACACACATAAGACACACAAGCCAAAGCAAAGACACGTAAGGAAAAAAAATGAAGATTGCTGCCATGCCCCTTTAGCCTCCTCTGCCCTCTCATGAACAAACATAGTGAGGTTTGGCAGCTTTAAGACACTTAGTTACTGCATCATTTTTAAGCTGCTATGGATGTGCTTCCAGCTTTTACAAAGCAGTTAACAGTCATGTAAGAAATAGCCAGGAGATGGCAACTGGAAACTGGAATTGGAGAAAGAAACCAAGGAAAAGTCTTATGCATCTCTCCCTGCCTCAGTTTCTCTATATACAAAAATGAAGAAAATTATTTGTGACATTTGACAGGAGGAAAGTGGAAGGAATGATGCTTTCCCAGGAAGGAATGATGCTTTCCCAGGACGAGCGCGCTTGGGATCTTCAGTGAGAACCAGCACCTCTGACGTGAGCAAGGCTACAGGAAGAGCTTCAGGGAAAGAAAACCCTACTCAGATTGCTCTCAGAAAAACCCTACCCAGCTCGCTTTCTCCAGAGAAGAGCTTGCGCCTTTCTTACTGACTGCAGATATTTATTTGCACCGCCTGGACAAGTTCCACATTGCAGCACTGGTAGGAAGACACTTAATGCTCAACAGTCAGAGATCCTTCTGCGAGGAGGTCCATGCCTCGGGACACACACTCTGTGTGCTACCACTGCCCACTCCAGCACCTCGATCACTGGCTGCCAATGCCACTTCAGGCCTTGCCTAGGCTGAGGTTTATTGTCACTCCAAAGCACCTGAAGCCAGGCAAGAATTCAGCATAGTCACTACAACTGAGGCGGGAACATTTTGCCCACATAAAACCCTGACTTCTTCCCAGGCTGCCTCCAGCAGCTTCCTTTCCCGGCAATTCCCAAGCCTGGTGGTTTCGCTTCCAGCTCCACGCTGCTCCCTTCGCCCTCCCTCGGCACTGGTGTTTGCTGCTTCTCCTCCCACCGAGGCAGCGCTGCGCAGTGCGTTATTTTCCCAGCATGTTGCTGTAGCACTTGCAGCAGTTTATGTTGTTCCTGTCACTTCAGCAGCTCTCGCCCTTAAAGCTTCCCACCCTCTCCCCCTCCCCGGTGCAGCTGCTGTTTAAATGATTACTTTTAACACTGCAGGGGTTTTACAGCATTATCAGTGATGCATTGGGTTGCCTTGAACCTGGAATAATTGTGGATTTTTTTCCTTTTATTATTAGTAGTAGTATYGTTGCAATTCTAAATAAATAAATTCTTTCATAGCTTCTTCCCTCCCACAGTTCTCAGCTACAGCCCTGCTTGTGAGAAGACTTGAGCTGCTAGGTTTAATGAAATACAGCATGCTGCTTTACTAGCAAACCACAGCTCTTACCTC